GACAAAGATGAGATGCTGTGGTAGTGCATCTCAATGGATGAGCATCTCATCTTTGTCACAATTATTTCATGTTCTTAACTGTCTATATTTGAAAATTTTCTATAGCTTTCATGTTCTTAACTACCACAGCATCTCATCTTTGTCACAATTATTTCATGTTCTTAACTGTCTATATTTGAAAAATTATGTCTTAGGAGACAATTAGGCTCAGTGCAGCCACCTCAGTGAATTAAATGTTCATGTCACAAAATATTCAAGAACACACATTGGATTCATCCACAGCTTTGAAATAGGATAAATGAAGGTGGTTTTAAGTTTTGACCCTCAAGAAGACCTCTTTCTCCATGCTAGCGACCAGGTACACAAGTTACAATTCATTGTCTACCATCAAAGAACCAACTCACACGACCAACATAAGACGTTGCTGTGATTTTATTAGAACAAACACATTTCAGTGAACCTTATCATTGTAGTCTAAAGACAGGAAGCATAAATAGTGTTTTCTCCACTACTTCAATTATAAAATATAAGAACTGCTTTTTAACAACAATTCACCACCTTTACATATAAGCATTGACATCACTTCTCAACTTATTTTCTATTTTTTTTCTTTTTCTTTTGATGAACATTATTGAGGCTGATTCACAGACTAAATCATAGTAAAAGAGCATACTTCACAAAATTGGCATTGGGATCGACTAGGAATGCTATGATAGAGATTGACAAGATCAGCTGGATCAGATTAAGGGGACTGGGATCGAACAACCAAACAAAACTAGTTGCATACAGAATTACAGGCCAAAAAAGCAACTCATCCTGCAATACTACTTCCAGCATTTACAATTGGACTGCAATTGCATTTGCAGCATAAATTAGATGTGACTTGTGAGTGACTAAACAGCCCCTTCTAGTAAGAGATGCCAGTTTCATCTGAATCCACCAAAATGTTTGAAAAAGATTGTAAGTCACAAAGCAAAATATTTGATACCTTGTGATAAGGTCAAATTGAATATCTGGACATACTGAAGACATCTCAAGGAGCAAAAATGGTGATATATTGAAGATATCATAGAAGACCAAAAATGCCAAAAGATGACCGCTATAAAGCATGCATTTGCAGTTTCACATTATGATATACTTGGATAAGCACAATAGTACCATATTCAGTGCATATATGGCGACATTTGTGAATATCTGCGAATCTTACAAGTCATTGTTATTTCTTTCTTTCTTTTATTCTTCTTTATGATGGAACAAGTTATTACTCTTAATCTATAGCATAAAGTCAAAATGCATTAACTCACATCAAATATAATAACCATGAGACAGCGATGACACTTTTATGTTATATAATTACCAGAAAAAGGCACAATGGTTGGATGTCCTTGTTGGCTACAGGAAAGAGAAATTATGCAAATAGCACAATACCAAAACTGCAAGAAATTTATAATTGGGAGGATTTACCAGATTTTTTAATATTTCGAAAAATGGAAAATTAACAGACATCTGGTTCATACTTCAAAATTTAACAAAAGTTGGCTTATTAAGTAATCAATGTTAAAGTAATGCTCAAGGTCATGAGTGCCATGTAAATGGCTGCTGTAAATCCAACAGCACAAAATACTAGTAAATTATTAGTCTTGTAAAAAGAAGACTCACCTGCATTGCCAACAAGACTTTCTGAATTTCACCAAGCTCCTTCTCAAGAATATCCTCTTGCATTGCTAGTGCTCGAGTAGCCTCTGAGTTCTTTTGTGCCAAAGCTGCAGTCTGCAGCACACCACTTACACTTCAACACATATATAACAAAATGACAGGATTACTATAGAGAAAACAAGAATATGCTGAACTTCCAATAAATTCGGCTATTAGATGAAAATGATAGCTGATGAACTTATAATTAGAAAACTTTGAAGCTAATGATTTGAGATAATGAAAAATATATAGATGAAGAAAACTTTTAATAACTTAAAAAAGGTTACGATATAGTTTATATAGATTTACTATGATGGGTTTTAGAAAAGAAAAGGCTGTTCAAAAATTATTTTGATCGAAAAAAAATAAAATACTTGATACTTGATAGAATAGTAGTATTAGGACCTTATAAAATGTAGCTAACGAATATCCTATAACCACAGGGTTACAGTAAGGATCAAATTTAAGTTCTTATATTTTCACATTCATAACAGACAAACTTACTAGTCATGTCTATGCTAGACTTTGTCGTATATATATTGTTTGTCAGTGATAGTCTAGTAGGAATTAATTTTAAGCTTGAGTCCTAAAGACAAAATGTTCAAAGCTGAAGGGTTTCGACTAGGGAAGACTAATATCTAAAACATGAGATACTATTTTAGTAATACTAGAAGATTTGAATGTAAAGTTAAGACCGTTGGATAAGAAATTGCTGAGTAAAATTTTTTGGTATCTTAACTCTATTATTCAAGAAAAGAAGAGATTGAACTGAAATCAAGTTGTCTAAAGTAAGAGGGATATCAAGAGTTCTATGCAACTGTATTATGGCTCTTAGTTTGAAAAGAAGAGTTCATAAGACAATTTTAATGCCAACTGTCCTTTACGGATTGACATATAAGGCAATTATGAAACATGTAGAAAAATATACTATAGCTAAGATGAGGATGTTGATATTGGTATTGAGATCAGTAATCAAAGTATATATTAAGAAATATTTTTATTTGTGAACAATTAGAAATACCTCAGCAGAACCTAAAGTAAGATACAGCTAGTCAAAATTGCATGGACATGTTTGAAGAAGACATTTATATGTCATAGTTAGACAACATAAGCCTATAAGGATTAATTATACAAGGAGAGTTAGAGAGACTTCAGAAAATTTTACCAGCAGCAATAAAATATATTTGACTGCTTTTAATTTAACTACGACATTAGCTCAATGTAAAGATCAACGGTGAAAAAATATCCATAAAAACTGATCCAAATAGTTAGGACATTACAACTTGTTGCTGTTATTGTATGACAAACTAATAATGTCAGGAGTTCAACAAATAAGAAAAAAACTCCGGACTTCAGGAAAAAAAAAGAAAAGAATACAAGAAAAAGGGAAGTGCAGCTGAAATCCGAATACGATTATTACCTCAGCAATTGGCTCCTTCAAGGCCTTCCTAGTGACCCTAAACCTAATCCCTAACTTCTCAAGCTGTTTGGACAGCACCCTAATTATTGTGGCTGAGCTCCGTAGCTCCTCCTCCATCTTTTCAATCCTCCTAATCAAATCAGCACCAGTACCGATGTCATTCAACATACAGATCTGCCTCCAACGAATCAAGCTTCCAACTGCCACCGCCCCAACCAATAAGAAGTATTGATAGACAAAGACTTTGTTACTCAGGTATATCTGGAATTGCTTGGATGCACCTGGAAGGACGGAACCTACGAGACATCCGATCGAAAATATAACAGAAGGTGCAATGCAGAGAACTTCAGTAACCAAAAGAATCTGATCCAAGATCAGATGCTTCCGAACATCTCTAGACGGACTCCGACTAAAATCTTCACCTGTAAAAGATCAAATCTTTAAGCTTTCTCCGTTTTTTTTTTTGGGCAGGGAAACAGCTGGGACCAAAAAATTTCTGTAGTACCAGACAAGGACGCCCCAGTTCGCCACGGAGATGCCCCTGCTCCCGCAACAGTTGCCCCGTAGAGTGGCAACGAGTGCCTTGCCAGCAAGAAAGATGTCGGAGAAGTGGGATAAGAAGCGAACTTTACTCGATGGGCAAAATAAACTCGATGGTAACGAAGCGCGGGCGATGGGCTTGGACGGCAAATGGCGGCGGCACCAATCGTCATCACTTGCGGCAGAGATTTCGATCGATTGCGCTGCCTTCAGATTTGGCGAGAGTCCCGAAGGGCAGGCATCGAATCGGAGGAGGCAATGGAAGCTAAGCTAGGGTTTCGGTGAGGATGGGGTGATGGGGAGGAGCAAACCGGGGGTGGAAGCGAAGATAAATCCTATTCCGTAAGATTCCAACTTGAGTTCTTGAGCGAGCTGACGGATGGGGAAATGGACGCAGCCACAGCGTCCGTTCCACGATCCAACAGGTAGTTTAATCACCAGTGGATCAAATCATAGAGCAAGACATTGTGGATACGAAGCCTGGAAATAACGTCTTCAATGCGCGTTTTGCATCCGACTCTAAATGACTCGTTGACTTGTTAGCTCGTTAAGCTTTGTGAGTCGCGTACGGGTTTGGCAGCGGATTAAATCTTTTCCCAATACGTCTTAACTGGGTTTCGGATAGATTGCAGTATAAAAGAAAATAAATCCGAATCCGATTTGGATTCGGATTCAGATACTAATTAGTTAAAGGGCACAATACATTGAGGATTTCATACATCAACCAGCAGTACAAATATCAGGTTATTTTATAACATCAAAAATATTATAATATTTCAAAAGCATATTTTGATCTTTCTAATACTTTCTAGTCAATTCACATATTTTTTTGATCTTTTATTATATCTATTTCTGACGACATGAATTGACCAGAAACCATTAATTGACGTTATGGAAAGCTAAATCATGATGGTTAAACACCAACTGAAAGCAAATTCTGGCAATACCACTTTGAAGCATCTGTCGATCACAGAAAGATTCATTTCACCCCTCTGGCTATTAAAAGAGCATCAGAAAAGTGTCAACATTAGAGAAACAACTCAGGTGGCCTCCTTGGAAGTAACTGGAAACAAGGTATTGAAAAACTCAATCCAACAGAGGTAATGAGAAATCTGAGTTCTGTAGAAGTCTCACAAGAAATCTCTCAGCCTATTTCTTGAAAAAAAGGCTAATCCTATGCCATTATCCTGCATGATTGGAAGAATGAGATTGACCAGCAATGCATACTGAGATTAACACCTTCAAATCTGACTCATCACTTCAGTCAGTTAAAGAAATGGCACTCTTGAACCATTTCCCTGACAGAAAACTGAAGAAAACATGAGAAGAGACAGAAGCTATTTCAGTCAAGCAATGTGAAAATGCAATACATCTATATCAATCACCTATTGACCCGCAGCTTTGGAGAAAAAGGCAAATAGATGCTTCATGGTGTGTGGTTTGAATAAGCCAGGAGCCATCACCGGGGCAGATGAAGGGAACTCAGCTCACCACTCTTGCTTCTTTCCTTCTGTATGTATTTAGTAAACTGTGTGTGTTTATTTTTAGGCTTATCTTATCCAGGGCTGTTCCTCAAGGCAAAAAAGTGAGTTTTTGCTGTTGATCTTGACCTTCTCTGACTCCAAGGAATTGATTGAACCAAAGAGGCTAGCTTGCCTCGATTCATCTCTCTCCTATAATTAACTATAGGCACTCAGGATAACCAATCATACTCCTGAATGTGTGACGAGAGGTTCACATTAACGACGATGAGAGCCATAATATACATAGACTTATAGTGTTGAGAAATCTACGACGATATAACGTGAAAGAACATAAAACAAAAATATCAAATTTGTCAATATACGTTCATCGTTGTACGTAGATTGATGCGCAAAACTAACGACACAAAAAATCATGTGTAAGATAGTTGTGTTACATAGGGAGATCGTATATCCTTAAATCCATGCAGATATGTAGAAGTGGATAAAGGAGGTCAAACGTTCTCCTCTCTAGCGATGATCCACACAGCAAGGTTGTAACAATGCTCCTCAAATCTCCAGGCCTGCTATCTGAGGAGGAGAAGAGGAGAGGAGAATAGGAGGTGGTAACTTTGAAGCCCCAGCCTATGAGCCTTTAGTTCCCTCCTATTTATAGAGGCCCTTAGTTAACCCTCATGGATCATATCATATTGGGTATTGGATCTCCATCCAATTACCCAAGCCTCTTAGATTAGTGGGTCTCTACCCAATAATCTCTTATTAGTTCTTATTGGATCCCATCCATGAGATCCAATAATTCAAGAGCTTATTGGATATCTAATAAGATAAGGGCTCCAGCGGATATCCCATATCCGAACCTCTACTCGTCGCAATACCTATCATATATGTGTGCCCCTCTAAACCCCATATCGAGCTAACAATGAGTCATATCTGTCAGAACTCTTTTTGGCTTAGTGAATTATTATCTCCATAATAATTCACTCGACTCATCGACTACGAACGTACTAGGCCACTACGCCGCAGTCCTCATATGATACAGGGGAATCCAATCATTTGGACCTATCTATCCTCAGATACCGTGTACTTATAGTCCCTCAACCATCTAATATCCTAAAGACCATATATCGGGCATGGTGCTGTCAGACCCATACGGTTTCTCCTCGAGTCTCCTCTAATCGAATTCTCCTGGAGAACTATTTCTCTCTCAATCCGAACGACCTTGGCCAAGGATTTATCTAAACAAGAACACACAAGATATTCCTCTCATGATACCGAGAGTGGATGATCTTTTATTGACACTCGATAGCTCTCGTAAGATTAACTGCCACTCCCAATTACCGACTGTACTAGATTTGGAACTTCCAAACTTAAAAGTCTGGTATCAAAAAGTGGAGTTCTCATATAAGACATCCTTAGTGTCTCAAGTCTAAGAATCAGATACACTACTGGAACTATAAAATTATTGTTTGATAATAAAACATCATTAACCAAGAGCCATCACCGGGGCAGATGAAGCGAACTCAGCTCACCACTCCTTGCTTCTTTCCTTCTGTATGTATTTAGTAAACTGTGTGTGTTTATTTTTAGGCTTATCTTATCCAGGGCTGTTCCTCAAGGCAAAAAAGTGAGTTTTTGTTGTTGATCTTGACCTTCTTGACTCCGAGGAATTGATTGAACCAAGAGGCTAGCTTGCCTTATTCATCTCTCTCCTATAATTAACTATAGGAAGTCAGGACAACCAATCATACTCTTGAATGTGTGTGATGAGAGATTCACATTAATGATGAGAGCCATAATATACAGTTATAAGAGACTTATAGTGTGGAGAAATTTATGACGACATCATGCGGAAGAACATAAAACAAAAATATCAAATTTGTCAATATGTGTTCATCGTCGTGCATAGATTGATGTGCAAAACCCGTGACATAAAAAATCACGTGTGAGATAATTATGTTACCTAGGGAGATCGTATATCCTTAAATCCATGCAGATATGTAGAAGTGGATAAAGGAGGTCAAACGTCCTCTCTAGTGATAATCCACACAACAGGCTGTAACGACGCTCCTCAAATCTCCAAGCCTGCTATCTGAGGAGGAGAATAGGAGAGGAGAATAGGAGGTGGCAACTTCGAAGCCCCAGCTTATGGGCCTTTAGTTCCCTCCTATTTATAGAGGCCCCTAGTTAACCCTAATGGATCCTATCATATTGGGTATTGGATCTCCATCTAATTACCCAAGCCTCTTATATTAGTGGGCCTCTACCCAATAATCTCTTATTAACTCTTATTGGATCTCATCCATGAGATCCAATAATTCAGGAGCTTATTGGATATCCAATAATATAAGGGCTCCAACGAATATCCCATATTCGAACCTCTACTTGTCACAAAATCTACCATTTGTGTGTGACCCTCTAGGCCCAATATCGAGTTGACCGTGAGTCATATCTGTCAAAACTCTTTTTGACTTAGTGAATTATTATCTCCATAATAATTCACTCGACTTATCGACTACGGACGTATTAGACCACTACGCCGTAGTCCCCATATGATACAGGGGAATCCAATCATTTGGACATATTTGTCCTTAGTTACCGTGTACCTATAGTCCCTCAACCATCTAATATCCCAGAGATCATATATCAGGCATAGTACTGTCAGGCCCATACGGTTTCTCCCTAAGTCTCGCTCTAATCGAATTCTCCCAGAGAACTATTTCTCTCTCAATTTGAATGACCTTGGCAAAGGATTTGTCTAAACAAGAACACATAGGATATTCCTCTCATGATACCGAGAGTGGATGATCTTTTATCGACACTCAATAGCTCTCGTAAAATTAACTGCCACTCCCAATTACCGATTGTACTAGATTTGGAACTTCCAAACCTACAAGTCTGGTATAAAAAAAGTAGAGTACTTATACAGGACATCTTTGGTGTCTCAAGTTTAGGAACTAGATACACTACTGGGACTATGAAATCGTAGTTTGATAATAAGACATCATTAACCATCTAGTATTCTATGAGCGGATCAATTAGTAAACTCATTCTCCAATAAGCACATACACTGTATCCTTAGTGTCCCCACACAAGCAGCTATGAGACCAACTGCCTCCATCATATGGACGAGTATACAACACACCAGTTTATCTAGTTATCTCTGTTAGGATCGAGTCGGCACTAAGAGGAGGAGGAGGGGTGGGGGGGGGTGAATTAGTGCAGTGATAACATTACGTTGAGTCGAAAATCTTCGTACAATAAAATTGTTTCGACAATGTTTAACTTGAAAGCGTACGGAAGCGTAGTGAATAAATAAGTAAAGCAGTTTGCAATGAAAGTAAAGAAATTAAAGTAAATGCAAACCGAGTTTTATAGTGGTTCGATCGTCGTGACCTACATCCACTCTCGAATCCTCTTCTATCGAGGCAACTGGCATCTACTAACGATCTTCCTTCAATGGGCAAAGATTAACTACCCTTTTACACTCTTTCTCCGTTTCACGGGTTTAGGAGACAACCCATACAAGCCTCTCTTTCTTATACCTCACTTCTCCCTTTAGATGAACTTCTAAATACTATGAAGAAATGATCATAAATCCTAAGAGAGTTTCCCAATTTTTCTCAAGTATTCTTTCCCCTTTTTTCAACTCAATTTCGTGCTCAATTCATGCTATCCCATGCAAGAATAGCTGGGGTATTTATAGACCCCAAATGACTTCAAAATTAGAGCAAAAAAAGGTATCATCTCGAGTTTTTCGGGTCCTGGCGGTACCACCGCCTGTGCTGGGCGGTACTACCGCCTGCAACACTGACACTGGGCGATACCACTACTCAATCTGGCGGTACCACCGCCCAGTCTGGTAGTACCACCACTTAACACAGTATGGAAGACTGAGTCTGTGCAGTACCACCGCCCAGATTGGTAGTACCACCGCCTGACATTGGG